ATGACTTGATCTTAAAATCCATGCTATCCCATGTGGAGCAGAGATTAGGAAATACTTCTATTTATAAAGCGTGGTAAATATGTAGAAAATCGCTTTCATCAAAAGCAGATGCCAGTCCAATAATAATGATAAATCTATGATTAATAGACTTATGTTAACCAAAGGTATTAAGAAATATTGAGCTAAGGAAGTTAGATGGAGTTAGAGGACAGATTAGCATGACCTAACTGAACAGCACAACAGACTTCTGAAGAAGGGTCCCAATCCAAAACGTCAGCTTTCCTTCTCCACTGACGCTGCCTGGCCTGCTGTGTTCCTTCAGTTCCACACTGTGTTATATCTAGTACCACAGACTTGATGTGAGAAAAGGTGTGAAGAAGGGTCACTGGATTTGAAATGTTAACTTTGTTTTTCCATCTACAGATGCTGCCAGACCTGCTGAATTTCTCCAGCACTTTGTTTCTATTTCAAATTACCAGCATCCACAGTTCTTTGTTTAAGGCAGATGGAATCTTGCTCTTTGTTTCAAAGAAAATGGAATATAAATATAGGGAAGTCTTGCTAAGATTATACAAGGCACTAGTCAGACCACTTCTTTAATACAGTGTGCAGTTTTGTTGCATTTATCTAAGGAAATGTGTACTGGCATTGAAGCAATCCAGAGAAGGTTCATTAGATTGACTACATTTATGGAGGGATTTTGCTATTCAGAGAGATTGAGTTTATTCAGTTGGTTGCTCCATGGAGCTCTTAACATCTCCAAGGCTGCTCACCTTTTTCGGCCATAGATGTAGATGTTACATTTAAAAATGGCACCTGTGGCATGGATACCACAAAGTCCTGGTGGCCATAACCAAGTTTGCCACTCTTTCTTTATGTTTGTTTGAGCCATTTGCATAATTAGTGAGCTGAAGATCTAATAAATTTGTGAAAAAAGTCAACGTGGGGTATGGCAGACCACCCACCATGATTGTTAGGCTTTGGTCTCCTAATATATGTCAGGATTCCATTTGTCATGGGCAGAATGTAATATCATTGTTAACCCTGTGATTTGGGTGTCCCAATGTCAAATCACACTACACAGATCATGTTATGGTAATTAGCCATTTTTCATGAAAGATCACAGACATCTCTCTCCATTAGAGAAAGATAAGTTGTTATGTAGCCAAAGGCGCACCACTATGGGTCAAGCAGGGTAAAGTAAGGAGGCAGACCACTATGAACTACCATTCTTGGTACAGGAGTTTAACTTGTGCTGATGGTGTTGTTCTACATTACATTTTAGCTCAATTGAGCTAATCAATCCCCAACACTTGGGGTATTAGTACTCCCTTGATATACCTCTGAGAGATATCTCTGGCATTCTAGTTCATTGTGCATGCGCTCTTTAAATATATGGATCTAACCAAAGATGATTCAGAAATAACATACTCTGCAATCAAAGATCATTTTAAAAACCTTCTACTCTATTATTAATGTTTAGTTTGTTATTTTGTACTCAATACTTGAAAGGCTCAACACTTTTGAAGTCCATGCACTCTGCTGCATTGACACCACATCCTTAAATGTTAATTTCTTTTTCCTGCAGTGTGTGCCATCTACAAGATGCACTGTAGCAATCATCATAACCACCTTCAACAGCATCTTCCCAACCTGTACCATGTAGTAAAACGAGGGCAGTATTTGTATGGGAATGCCATTACTTGCAGGTTGCCTCAAGTCTCACACCACTTGACTTGGAACTATATTGCTGTTTCTTCTCTGTCACTCAGCCCTGCTTCTTAAGTGGCTCAAGAAGGCAGCTTACCAACACCTTCTTGAAGGCAATTCAAGATAAGCGTTTCATTTTGACCTTGCAGGCAGTGTTCACATGCTCAGAACAAAAAGCGAAAGCATTTTGTTGACCCTTGTTACATGTTTCGAGTTATGACTTGAACACTTACCACTTAAATTGTTGACCTAATTTACTCAAGTAATATTGCATTATTTGACAAATGAGCGCATTAAGTAAGAGAAATCATAGGCCAAATGGACCATTTAAAATAATCAAAGGTTGGGCAATAGAGTTTGATACTTTCTGAATTGACAATTAGAATAATATTAGCATGGTAATTAAATAGGTGAAAATACACTGTACGTTAACAGGTCAAGCACAACTGATGTATAAATAAACAGAAATAAACAGACCATACTGGAGATTGAATGAAACAAATGTTCTTTTTCAATTATTCTGACTCAAGACAGGCAAACAAATAATGATCCTTCAAGTAAATAGAACTGAAGGCTCATTGGATATAATGCAGTATTAAAAAAGTGCTTGATGAGCACAAAATAGAATGCTACAGTAATATTAATTTCCCACTTACAAAGTGATCTAACATAATACGGATTCCTAGTCTTGATGCTAGCACAATAAATTAAAGAAGTATTCATGAAAATCAACATATGACTACTACTCCAGTCATTGGGGATAAACGAATATCAAAGAGTTTTATACTTTAAAATTATACCTTGGTGTGTTGCTGGTCTGCTAACGTAAACCCTGATGCTACACTCAGTCAAATGCAGTTTTGATGTCAAGGGCTATCACTGTTGCTTTACCTTTGGATTTCGGCTCTTTTTGACTATAGGAACAAGAGTAGGCCATTTAGCCCCTCTGTCATTAGCGAATCATTGCCGATCTGTGGCCTCACTCCATATATCTGTCTTTGGCCCATATTCCTTTTGTTTAGCAAAAATATATCTATCTCATGCCATTTGTGGAAGAACGTTCCAAACGTCTACTACCCTTTTGTGTGTCAAAATGTTTCCTGACATCTCTCCTGAGTGGTCTGGTCCTAGTTCTCAGACTATTTCCCCTTTAATTCTGGAATCCCCAAACAGTGGAAATTGTTTTTCTTCATCTACACTTTTCATGTTAATATCTTGAAGACTTTGATCAAATCACCTCTTAAACTTCTAAGTTCTTGATAAAACAGGCCTAATTTGTATAATCTCCCCTCATATTTTAATCCCAGGATCATTCTTTTAAACTTGTGTTGTACTCCCTTGAATATATCCTTCCTGAGATGTGTTACCTGGATCTGCTCACAGTATTCCAAGTGTGGTCTAACCAGGGTCTAGTATAACTGCAGCATGACACCTGCATCCTTATACACCAGTCTTCTAGATATAAAGGCTAACATTCCATTAGCTTCTTTGTTTATTTTATGCACCAGTTTACGACTTTTGAAAGATCTATGCACCTGAAATCCAAGTATCATTGAACATCCACTGTTTTTAACTTCATGCCATCTAGAACATACCCTGACCTATCCTTTTTCAGTCCAAAATGGACAGCCTCACAGCTAATTACATTGACTCCATCTACCACAGTTTTACCCATTCACTTAGTCTAACAATATCCTTTTGTAATTTTATGCTGTCATCTACACAGTATATAATGTCACCTAACTTCATGTCATCCGTAAGTTTGGATATTCAAATTGTTAATAATGTGAACAATTAATACGCTAACACACATCCTTATGGAGCATCACCAGTCACATGCTGCCAATTTGAGTACATACCTCTGAACATAATGATATCAGATGTAACAAATAGTTTGAAATGAAGTGCTTAAGGAAAATTCAAGGCGCAGATGAAGAACATTAGAACATCTAAAAGCTTGCAGAGAAATAGTATTAGAAGTGGTAATAGAAATTTGTGATCAAATATGTAGTAAAGGATAGAGAGGCCAAGAGACTTGAGGCATTTATTATTTGTTGAAAAACCTAAAAAACCTAAAGGGCACTCATTTTAGAATGATAAGCTTAATGAGTCATCTCATTCAGAATTATTTTGAAAATCAAAGTAGAAATAATAGCATATTTGAAGCAGAAATTGATGAAGCACAGTCTGGACTTAGAAATGGAGAAGGAACAAGACACAATATTTAACCTAAGAACAATAATTTGATAAGTATATAAAGCAAAGAAAAGCATTTCCGCATGCTTCTTTTGACTATGGAAAAGTGTTTGATCTTATTTATCGCCAAAAACATGACAGTAAAAAGATGCCATTATGGCCAGAGCCATTATAAGGATCAAGTAAAAAGGTAAAGTTGCCATAGTCCCAAAGGTTCACAGGGCTGCTGTCTCATTAGAGTGAGATAACTGGTGGTGGTTTAACCTGACGGTGACCATGCATCAGGTGACGGGCAAAGTTGAATGAGCGCCCTTCATGGTAACATCAGTTGTTGCAGGGATTTAACCCGTACTGTTACCATTAATCTGCATCACAGACCAGCCTACTGAGCTAACCTCACATTTATCCCCATTATAGTTTGTCTATTGTGTATTTGCTCACTCACATAACTTGTCCAAATCACACTGAGGCATCTCTGCATCCTGCTCACAATTCACCTTCCCACCCAGCTTTGTGTTGATTGCAAACTTGGAGATTATCACATTTAGTTCCCTCATCTGAATCATTTATATATCGTAAATATCTGCAATCCAAGCATTGATGATCCCTGCAGTAGCCTGCTAGTCACCACCTGCAACGTGGGGGAGGAGGAGACCTATTTATTCCTACACTTTGTTTCCTGTGTGTCAACCAATTCCCTATCCATGTCAGTATATTACCTCCAGTCTCGTGCGCATTAAATTTACATTTTAACCTCTTATGTGTGACTTTATCATAAGCCTTCTGAAAGTCCAACCACTTCCACTGGCTCTCCCTTATCAACTCTACCAGTTACATCCTCTCAAAATTCCAGTAGATTTGTTTGGCATGATTTCCCTTTCATGAATCTATGCTGACTCTGTCTAATCCTGTCATTGTTTTTTTGGGTACTCTGCTATTAAATCCTTTATAATGGACACTAGTATTTCCCTACTACTGATGTAAGACTGCTGATATATCATTGTCTACTTTTTCTCTACCTTTTTCACATAGTGGGATTACATTAGGTACCCTGCAATCCATAGAAACTGTTTGAGAGTCATGGTGAGACTTACCTTCCTCACTGTCAACAATATCTTTCCATAGCAGTAGACAATCACCAGAAAGGGGATGACCAGACAGAAGACGAAGAGACACACAATATAGGACACATTGGCTGTATCTTTTGAATGCCAGTTCACGGAACATGTGGTTCCTGGTCCCTCAGGACCATACTGACTCCATCCAAATAGAGGGGGCAATGTCCATATCAATGAGTAGATCCAAGAAAATGAAATCCATGCAAATGCTTTGCTGTAGTTTGTCTTGTCGGCTTCTGTGGCTCCAGTGATGGTAATATAACGATCGTATGAAAGTATAGTCAATGAAATCAATGATACAGTGCCTATGAACAAAAACAAATAATTTACTAAAATTTCAGAAGAAATATATAGAAATCCTTAAATTATACCGTAAGGACAATGTTTTTTTTTAGAAAAACTAGAGAATGTAGGGAAATCACATTGAAACTTAGAGAATACTGAGAAACTGGGATAGAGTGGACTTGGAGAAGATGTTTCCATGAGTGGGACAGACTCAGGCATCGGGCACAGCCTCAGTGTGAAGAGATAACTCTTTTGGATTGAGTTGAGGAGAAATTTCTTTAGTCAGGGGGTGGTGAATCCTGGTGCCTGGATTTAAGATATCTCATCTGGGCTGCAGAGGAACTTGGAATGGGATGGGAATGATCTAGTTGTCGTGGTCCAATAAGTACAAATGAGATAGGTAGAAAGAAAGAAGTTCTGCTGAGGGAGCATGTGCAGCTCAGTGCTAAATTAGAAGGCAGTACCCAAAAAGTAATAATCTCCAGATTACTTCCTAAACTACAAACTAATTGGCATAGGATCAACAACATTAAAGAGAAAAACATGTCTCTCAAAGATTGTAGGAGAAACGAGTTTGAATTCATGGGACATTGGCACCATACTGGGGAATGAGCTGCTCCAATGCTCTGGGCTCCAGCTAAAACATGCTGTAACTACAGTTCTGGCAAAATGCTAACTAGGGCTGCGGATGGAGTTTTAAACTAAATAGTGGGGAAGTCGGTTCAGTTGCATGAAAAATGATAAAATCAAAGGCAAAAGAAAATATAGTATTATTGTTTAGTAATGGGGCTGATTGTTACCTGAAAATAAATGGAAGGGGCAGAATGTGTGAGTGTCATAATACATCAAGGGACCACAAAAGTGTAGGGAAACTCAATGGTAGAACAAACTTAAAGGCTTTGTATCTTAAAGCACAGCACATTTGGAATAAGGTAGATGAACTGATGTTGCAAATAGAGGTAAATTGAGGTCATGGGGACTTTAAACGAGCTAAGGCAGGGTGCGGGGGGAGGTGAAGGAGAAGGGCTCAGCAGAGGTTGTTAAAGTTTCCAATACAAGTAATAGGACTGACAGTATGTAAAAAGTCAGGAATCTAATTGCAGGCACAGCAAATAAGGGGACAGCTACGAGAAAGGGAGTGTTCAACACAAGACTGAGGGTGTTCTACTTGAATGCACACAGTATATGAAATAAGGAAAATGAGCTTGTAGTGCAATTTGAAATTGGTGGATATGATGTTGTGGGCATTATAGAGATATAACTGCAAAGGCATCAGGGCTGTAAACTAAATATCCTAGGATACACAATCTATTGAAAGGACAGGCAGATGACCGGGGTGTGGAGGGAGCAGTGTGAGAGGGTTTGTGGTGGTGCAGGATTGTTTTTGTTAGTAAGAAATGAAACTAAATTGATAGTAAGAAGCAATACAGAGTCAGAAGGCATAGAATCTGTGTGGGTAGATTTCAGGAACTGCAAAGGAAAAAGACTCTGATGGCAGCTGTGTACAGGCCTCCTAGCAATCATTAGAATGTCGGGCAACAAATAAATCAGGAAATAGAAAGGCATGCAAGAAAGATGATAATACAGTAATCATGGGGGATTGGAAAAATCAGGTTGGTAGTGGATCCTAGAAAAAGGAATTCATGGAATGTCTATGGAATGATTTTTTGGGAGCAGCTTGTGGTAGAGCACTAGAGTGCAGGCACTTCTGGATTTAGTGATGTGTAATGAGACAGACATGATTAGGGAGCTTAATATGAAGGAACCCATAGAGGACAGTGGCCATAATATTATAAAATTCACTGTGCAGTATGAGAGGGAGAAGGTAGAATTCGAGGTAATATAACTAAAAAGACATGATTGAAGGGGAGCCTAGCAGGGAAGATGGTGGAGCAGCAATGGCAGGAGTTTCTGGGGGTAATTTGGGAGTCACAGCAGAAATTTATCCCAAGGAGGAAGAAACACACTTGGAGGGGAACAATACAACCATGGTTAACAGCATAAAAAACAGAAGAAAATGCATACAAAGTAGTGAAGATTAATGGGAAGCCTTTTAAAAACCAGCAGAGGACGACTATAAAAGCTATAACTGGGGTGTGCGTGTGTGTGTGTGTGTGTGGGGACGGGGGGAGTTGTGTGGGGGGGAGTGGGGAAGAGGATGAAATATGAGAATAAGCTGGCTGGTAATATGAAAGAAGATTGCACATTTTATATCGCAAGAGAGAGGCAAGAGTGGACAGTGGACTGCTGGAAAATAAGGTTGGAGAAATAATAATGGGGAACAAAGAAATTGTGGTGGTTTGCATTTAGCTTCACAGTGGAAGACACCAGTGGCATACCAGAATTTCAAGAGAGGCAGGATGCAGAAATAAGCATGGTGGCTATCATTATGGAGAAAGTGCTGATGATGTTGAAAGGTCTGCAGGGGAATAAATCACCCAGACCAGATGAACTACACTCCAGGGTTCTGAAAGAAATATCTGAGGGGATTGTGAAGGCGTTGGTGATAATCTTTCAGGAATCCCTGGAGTCAAGGAGGGTTCCAGAGGACTGGAAATGGTTAATGTAACACTTCCATTTAAGATCCCTTAGTGTGACTTCTGTCATTGGTAAGATTTTAGTCCATTGTTAAGTACAAGATTGCATTGTACTTGCAAGTGTATGGTAAAATAGGGATGAGTTAGCAGGGCTTCATCAAGGGGAGATCATGCCTAAAAAATCTGTTAGAATTCTTTGAGGAGGTAATGAGCAAGTTAGACAAAGGAGAGTCAGTGGATGTGATCTATTGGGTTTTCCAGAAGGCTTTTGATGAGGTGCCACACAGAAGACTGCTAAATAAGAGCCCATGATGTTTGGGACAAGGTACTGGCATGGATAGAGGATTGGCTGACTGGCAGAAGGTCAATGGTCCACTCTATCACAGTGCATATGGTAGCTGTCCATGTGTTTGTGCATTGCATACCAGGATCATGAATCAAGTTTTCTGATGTCTCAAATGCAGCTAAAATAGTGGACTGTGGCAGAATGAAGGTATCATGATAGTTGCCAAGATTTTGGACATTGACCATCACAATTTTCTGCCTATGGTTACACAACAGCTGGACACTGAGACAACGTTGTGATTATGAAATAGTTTAGAGTTGGTAAGTGGTATCCAGAAAGTGATATGTGATATAATTGAGATGCAACAATCAGCATACAAACACCCTGCTGGGAATATAGATCCTCAGTGAAATCCTTTAGCATCATTACAGCTTAGAAACAGGCTGCTTGGTCTTTCAAGTCCATACTAGTTCTATGTAAAGCAACCCAGTCAAATCTATTGCCCTGCCTTATCCCCACACCCCACAAGTTTATTTCTAAGCATGCATCCAATTTCCTTATGAACTTGTTGACTGTCTACTTTCATCATCCTCTCAGGCTGCAGTTCCATGCAACAATGGATAGAAATATGTAGGATGTCACAAATATCAATTTCTCTGAGGAATCAGAATCATAAAGCTTCGTGGCCACGGACACCTTTACAGAAATTAACAATTCTAATATTGCCTTGCCCTGTTGTGCAGCTGACACTGCACCAAGTGCCAGATTTTAGTGAGAATACCTTTACAGAAACTCAAGATGTTTAACCCATATTCCCCTGAAAAGTACAGCAAAACAACATTGGATGCAGTTTCCATTGAAAGTCTGTGTGCATGTTATGATTGTCATTTTGGCTCCAAAATGGCAGGCAGTGCCAAAAGAAAAACAGGAATGATGGAGCCACGTTTCATAGTTAGTAGGGTGACTGAAATCACACCCTTTGTAAGCCAGCCTCAACTAAGCATTTTCCACCACCAGCACTTTGTCTTGACAAAATCTCATCAGAGAATCTAATCGTGGAGAAAATCACTTTGATGCAATTAATTGCTGGTATGTGGATATATTTATTTGCGACCATTGACTAGAAGGTAATATCACATAATCCTTGCTGTGCACTTAGTTTTCTATGGATAGATATTGAATATAGTGAGACTGAGGGCAAATAGGCGATGCAGAGGGTGAGGAGATAGGCAATGCTTGTCAATGCTAGGACAGAAATGTCAGCTGGTGGAAGGCTGGAGAAGTCTATGTTGAAGATGTAGATTGAAGTCCTGAGGGGACTTAAGACTGTTCCAAGTGTGGAAATATTTCTATTGCTGTATAATGAGTGCAATTTTTTTTGCACTTTTTCAAAAAATCTGGGCGTATTGTTTTATAGAACCACATTATCTCATGCACTATAATTTGACTGTGATTAAACAAGCATACAAAATGCTGGAAAAATTTCAGTTCTGAAGCAGTGTCATTTCAGCCTTGAAACTGTTTCTCCCTTTGGATGCTGCAAGGTCTGCAAAGTTTTTTCCAGTATTTTCTGTATTTATTTCAGATTTCCAGCATTAGCAGTATTTTGCTAATGTGATGAAATTTTTGGTGGATGTTAACTGGTGCAAAGCAAATTCAGCATCCACCACTGCACAGCTAAGAAGAAACAGCACCGACAGTATTTTACTTTTGATAGTTAAAACTGTCTGTGGACAAATAGTTCTGACACAAATTGTTTTAATTGGAACTGGGTCCATAGTGATTTCATAATTGCCATTTTCTTCTGCATGCTTGGGCTTCCTACCTAACCAGCGTTGTGTGATAAAGAGCAAGGGGCAAGTTTCCTGTGGTTAGAAACAACTTTTCTGACAGCACAGGTGGGCATCTACTGCAAGAGCTGCTTAATAGAGCTGAGATCGTTCCATGCTTATAGACAGAAGAGGGGCTGGCAGGATGTCCAGGATTCACTTCCTGAAAGAGCCACTCAACACCAGCAGACTGGGATTAGTCTACTGTGACCACATTCAAACAAATTGGATGTGTACAAGAGTCTGCTTCTAGCTGGTAGCATCTGCCAATCCATGAGGAAAGGCATTGTCACCATCATATTCAAGTAGAATGGGGTATTGGCGGAAATTACAAATTTATGACTGATCTCACTGTTGAATGTGGGCTA